TTGACTAATGGTCAGACTCCTAGGAGCTCACAGGCTACTTCAATACAAGATGTAACAGGTGAGGGACAATAGTGGAGGGGAAAGAAAGGATAGTAACAGAAATGGAAACCATGAGTTTGAATAAGCTGATATGCATTGCTGAGAAATTTACTAGGTTGTTAATCTGTCGGTAAATAATAGCAGACTGTGTGTGCTTTTATAAATGCCTTATTTAAAAAAAGACCCATTTCTGAGTTTGTCACACTGTACACTTTTTGTTTTTCAGTTTAACTTGTGAATATTCTGAGACATATAACAGTCTTTAACAAATCCAAATGAGCTATAATATTATCCAATTTTAAGTCTGGTGTAGACATGACATGAGAACAGAGAGGAGCCTCATAATTTAACTGGTTTGTCATTCCTTAACCTTTGTAGGAATATACCAGATTTGCTTAGTTTTGTTAACAAAAGCAGCTGCAACTCTTTCCCTTAATGTATTCAAAGTCAGACATGCAAATTCAAAGGGGGAGTGTTTGTTTGCACTGTGTAATTGAGTATAATAAGGTACTGGTTCATTCTAGTTGGGTTTTTTTTAAATGTATCAATCATAGTTTTTCTGTTATTTTGGCACAGAATGACTTATCTATGCATGAATATGGATTTTACTAATTGGTTTCTCTCTTCCTGGTATTTTCATTACTTCCAGTTAAACACTAAAGTGAGTATACAAAGGCTGGTATATGCTTGGAAATCTACCAGAATAGTTCTTCCAGAATAATTATGCCTGAAAAAGGCCCTTACTGGACTGGAATCAAGAGTGCCTTTTCTGATTTCAGTTTAATTCATTTGGAAAAGGGCATGTTATTTTAAACTTCTTTAATGTAGACAAAACCTGACTCTTCGTTACAGTATTGTCTGTTAGCTCCAGCTCTGTTCCAAAACCATTTTTAAATCAGTGCAGAAAAATCAACCTCAAGAAAATTTATTTTATCCTTCAAATCAATTTTAGCTTTTTTTTTTTTTTTAAACTTGAGAAATGGAATGCAAATCCCTCAAGTTTTCCTGACTTATTAAAAATAGGCTTATTTAATTTTAGGGCAGCAATTATTCCTAAATATAGTTGGCACTATATATTCCAAAATATATTCCTAATTCCTAAATATATTTGGCACCCTAATGCATAACTTATAGCTCAGTTTGTAAAAATTCTTAAATCTTTTTAGTACCCAATTGGTGTTAAATAGTTACTGTAAGGTACCGACTAAAGTACTTACTACATTCCAGTTTCTTAACTTCTTCATGCTGAACACAAAGTTTCTGTGGCTTGAGCTCCAGGGAAATTGGTGTATATTGTATAGCTTTAGTTTGTACAGTTAGACTGAATGGTTGATACTTGTAAGCTAGAAGATGGCAAGAAGTTGCTGTGTTCTGTATGTATGAGCTACATATATCCAGGAGCAGCAGCAGCCTCAGGACTCTTGAGTTTTGTGTGCATTTGAGACTGCTGTAGAATCCTAATACCAAAAGAAGCGATGAAATTAGGTAGGTACAATAGGAGTAAGATTTGCTCCATTCTCCCAGCATCTGCTTCATAGTGCAGTCTGAAAGCTGTTTCATTTCCTTTTCATATAGTCAAACAAGAATGGCTACTTCTATAATGGAAGAGATCAAATTAACATGTGGAGTGGTCTAGAATAAAAGGCTAAGTAAAAGCAAATGTGGCTAGATTCTTACCTTAATGTCTTAGTGCCTTGACAGCTGTGAGAGAAAAGAGCTCTTGCAAGCCTATGATCTATAATTTTGTATAATTATTCCCGGTACACTTTTTGGCTTTTAAGGCCAGCAGTAAGCCGAATTTTTAAACAATACATATTCTTAGCCAACTGTCTGTGTCAGTGCCTATCAGTTTAATGGCTTTTGTATTTTGTGGCTGTATAACGTATGGTAGAATTGATTTTGTACTTTATATTTCAGTGATAGGCGTTTGCTGCAGCCTGCTCAGGTATGTGACATTTTCAAAGGAGTTATATTGGTCATCTGCTACTTCATGATGCACTATGTTGACTACTCTATGATGTACCATCTGATAAGAGGACAGTCTGTCATAAAGCTATACATCATCTACAACATGCTAGAGGTAAGGGCGTTTTTATCAAAAGTAAATGTCAAACCATGTTTCCTCTGGGTTTTCTAGTATTAGTCTGCTTTTTGTATTTGAGTCTGGTACATTTCTTTAATGAAATCGGTGTAAAAAAATTAGTATACACCTAGAAGTTTAATAAGTTGTTCAAGATATTTTCATATGTATATCTTTTAATTGCTGCTTCCATTAAAATAGCACAAATATCTTAATATACAGTTTGTTTTCTGTAGAAAGTTCAGTTAATTGAGTTAAATTGAGAGAGCTCATTTTAAAATAATTCCTTTCCTGAAATCTTAACTGCCAGTCAGAATGTGATAGTTGGGAGGGGGGGAAATCCAGAAAGGAGCTGTAAAGAGACATTTTGCTTAAATAGCAGTAAAGGGTCTTTGGAAGAGTAGAGAAATTCATAGGAAAAAAACAGAAAAGTAGGCTGAAAGGGATCTCGGGTCATCCTCTAGTCCAGTGGTCTCCAAACTTTTGATCATGCACCCCTATCAGTAAAAAAAAATTTTGAGCATGCACCCCCAGTATCTGAGTGAGGGCACCACTGTCAACCCCTCCACGTTGTAGAACTCCCAGTCTTCCCTCAGGATACCTTGCGTACCATACGTGACACGTGACTGTCTGACGTACGGATCGAGTGAGGGCGCCAGTGCATAAATAGAAGTTCTAATATTTTCTTCCCGCACCCCAATGGATCATCTTGCACATCCCCTGGGGTGTGCGTACCCCACTTTGGAGACCACTGCTCTAGTCTACCCTCTCCTCGTGGCAGGATTATCCCTATTTAAACTATCCTAGACAAGTGTCTGTCTAATGTGTTCTTAAATTCAGGAACAGCCCTCTTGCACAAGTACCAGATACAATACCCAAAATACAAAAACACCTGAACTTGCCACAGATAAAGAAAAGGAGTGAGGGCACTGTCAATGTTTTGCCACTGCAAGAACAGGAAGTAGTTGTTAAAAATGTACTCGAAGTCCTTCTTTTATTAGATCACTAAATAGCTGGAAAAATTGTTCTTTGCAAGATTTTAAGTACAAATGCACTTTTTCAAGAACAACAAACTCTCCCTGTGCCTGGAGAAAGGTGTTTGTACCCTAAAGCTTGCAAAGAACAATTTTTTTCCAACTAGTTACTTGGTCTAATAAAAGAGATGGTCCAAAAAAGAGATGGGCAGATGAGAATAGGATGGAAATCAATATAGACAAGTGCAGGGTACTGCATCTAGGGAGAAGAAACCAGCAGCATACCTGTAGGTTGGAGAGCACCCTTCTCATTGGCACAGAGGTGGAAAGGGATCTTGGAGTCATTGTTGACTCCAGGATGAACATGAGCCACCAATGCAAGGAAGCTGTCAGTAAGGCTATCCGCACGTTGTCATGCATCCACAGATGCATCACAAGCGGGTCCAGGGAGATGATCTTCCCCCTCTATGCATCATTGGTTAGCCTGCAGTTGGAGTACTGCATCCAGTTTTGGGTGCCGCACTTCAAGAGAGATGTGGCTAGTGTTGAGAGGGTCTAAAGGAGGTCCACTTGCATGATCAGGGAGCAGCAGGGCAGGCCATATGAAGAGAGACTAGAGGGCCTGAATCTATTCAGCCTCTATAAGAGAAGGCTGAGGGGGTGGTATCTGGTGGCCATCTTCAAATTCACCAGGGGGGATCAGCAGAGAATAGGAGATGTCTTGTTTCCCTGGGCATCACACGGGCTAACTAGGAATAATGGCCGCAAGTTGATAAGAGAGCAGGTTCAGGCTAGACATCAGGAGGAATTACTTTACAGTTAGGGTGGCTAGGACCTGGAATCAGCTTCCAAGGGAAGTGGTGCTCGCTCCTACCTTTGGGGTCTTTAAGAGGAGGCTGGATAGACACCTGACTGGGGTCATATGACTGCAGCATCTGTTCCTGCCCAAGGCAGGGGTTGGACTTGATGATCTGTTTAGGTCCCTTCTGACCCTAGCTACTATGATACTATATCACATTTCCCCAAAGAGCCTTGTCTGCCTCTGTCCTTAGACCAACACAGCTACAACCAACAACCCTCAAGAGGTCCAGGAAGAAAACCATGTGCCCAGCTACACAGGAAGATAAAACCCCCCAGTCAATGCCAATTTGATGGGGTGGGGGTTAAAATTCCTTCTGAAATCCTGATATGGGGATTGGTTTGACTCTGAGAGGCGTTAAGCCTTCCCCCCCACACTGCTGCCTGCCCCAGCCAGCGATATCTGGATTCCAGCAGGAGCATTGGCAGACCGCAGTCAAAATCCTCAGCCTTGGCTGCAACCGGCACTCAATGTTTTTGAGCAAGGTGCACGGAAGAGAAAGAAAAAACTGACATCTGTAGTAACAGGAGGGGGGAAAAAATCTTGCTTGGCCTTGTGGGAACTAGTTGCATGGGATAAACAACCTTCACTTTGCACTGCAACCTGGGAACCAAAACATACACCTGAACTAGAGAGCCAGAACTCCCTTTTCTGTCATTCTGTCTCCTCACTAATTTTATCCCAACTCCTTTAATCTTTTATAATGAAGCCAGGTTACTGCAGTGCTTTTGTTTGTGTGTTAAGGAGGAGAGCTATGAATATTTTACCATAGGTTAGGCTCTTTTGGGTAGGCTATGGTTTGTCTACAATATGGAGATTTTTGATTCTAAACGCTAGTTATTCTCTCATGTTGTTTAAAAACATGGAATATGAGGATCACACCTTATGACCATACTAAGTTAATGCACTTCCTGAAATGTGTTACATATGAGCCACTTCCAGAAAGTTTCATAGTTTCTAGGGTCGGAAGGGACCTGAGAAGATCATCTAGTCCGACCCCCTGCCATGGCAGGAAAGAGTAGTGGGGTCAAATGACCCCAGCAAGGTGTTCATCTAACATATGTAATGGTGAAGGCTTAGTTTTTTGCATCTGATTTATTTTTTAATACATTTTCCAGTGAACTGAGAAATCAGATTGCTGAATTAAGATGGCAAGATCTTGTGCATTTTAAAGATCTAGGACAAGGGTTTCCAACCTATATCCCATGGGCCAGATGTGGTATGTGGAGCCCCATAATCCAGTCCCTGCTCTCTGCCCCTTTGACCCACATGCTGTGCCAGATGGCCCCACACCACGAAGCACTTGCTGGGGCCAACGTCCTGGACTGGCCTTGTGCCATTCATCAAGCCCCAGGGCCTGATGAGTTTGACCCCTGGTTTAGGGGTTATTCGTTCCTATGCTATTTTTAAACTATGATGATAAGGATGATTATCACATAATGAGTAATGCTTAATGCCATACAGCTTAATGGTACTCAGAATAGCCCTTCTGTCTGTAACCATTTCCAAGTGCTGAGCAAATTCAGTAAGGAATTTTTCTAGTAGTCTTAAAGAATCTACAAAATTTATCTCGGTGGATTAAAAGGCATGTGAATCACTGGGGGAAGCATTTGAGATTTGCCTTCATCCAGGACCAAGCAGAACCAATGACCATTTTGTAACTGAATATTGCAGAGCAAGGAAGGTGTCTGCTGCCTGGAATTCTCTGTTCAGCTTTTTGGACAAAAAATGCAAGTCTCATACTACTCGTAACCACTGTCAAAAATATTTTTGATATCAGTGCAGCGGGATCGAGCTAAAATCCATTTGATTTGCTTGATCTGTCACAAAAGCTTTAGTGTCTAGTAGCAGAGCAGAGTACTTCTTGCAGCACCTTTTGCACATCATCACATCCATAATGTCAGCAGAAAACAATGCTTCAGTCCTATAAAATACAGTTGCTTTCAGGACATCTAAACACTTGTACCACTGTAGTCTGGTTAATGATGCCTTCCAGACTATAGTCAATTCGGTATTTTTCAGTTTAAAAAAATGAAATAACTAGCCTCACAAGTACATCCTAATTGTTTAATTTCAAACTTGGAAGTTGGAGTGTTTAATATGGAAAAATGATTAAACTGACAAAGATGTTTACAATGTCTTGATGTTTTCGGCTATCTCTGAGGCAGAGAAAAATGGATATGCTAGAAATGCAAAAACTTTCCTTTTGTGTGCTGAATGCCCCAAATAACTATGCTGAGGGGCGCATTCAGCACCATTGGCTTAAAATGACACTCTTCTTTTTTTAGATTCAGACCCACCGGCTCCTGCTCCTTAGGAACACCCAGCGTGTGTTATGCTGGTGACACCTCACTCACCACGGAACTCTGCTGGAGCCTGGAGCCGGCATATAGGGGTCAGGTAAGTCGACTTGAGAAAACAGCCAACAATATTGCGTGGTGTTTTTAATTGTTCCAATCTCATAGCACTTAAACTCATTTTAAAATAACCAAAAAAAAAAAAAGCTTTTTAAAATCCCCGCAATATTGTGGAGAAAACCAAACTTACCTGACTCTCTAAGCATTATATAATGGGTGCACGTCACCAGGCATGGTAGGGTATCACTGAGCAGGAGCCAATGGGTGTTGACTATCTTCAGTTTGACAAATGAATAGCCGAAAACAATGCCATTGTAAATATGCTTTTCAAGTACTACTCTTCTTAATATAAAGTTTAGAAGTTATAATAGGGAAATGGTAAAATTTCCTATAATGCTGTAAAAGCGGCTGATGGTGTGCTAAATGCTATTCTTAGGCAGCATACTTGGGCATTCAGTATTTAACTTTCCTATTTCTGTTGTTTTTGTCAATTATGTACCTTTTAAAGATTTTATAATTGAGTGGATGTTGGCTTGAGTGAGTTTTGCTTAATTTCATCGTTTCTGTTTGAAGTTGCTCTTCAATAACTTCAAAATTTAGACCCTTTAACTAGCAGCAAGTAAAATGTAGCACTGATGACATAGTAACTGTTGTGAAGCAGAAAGCTTTTTAATTAATGTGAAATGGTACGGTATTTGCTCGTATCTTCTATTCTACTCCAATATCCATTGCATAGTGCTTTTGTGTCTAACTTAATTTACAAAATAAGCATTAAAGGGAAAGGTAATTACTACAGTTTAATAAGTGATGCTAATAGTTTTATCATATGCATCTCTTTACTTTGGTCAGATTCATGAGTAAGAGAAAATTCATCAAGAATTCAGGGTTCCATTGCTGTTCCTCTGAACGTCCTCTTGCTGGGCAAGATATTTAATTATGCAGTTCTGAGAATTACATACCATATTTACCAGAATACAAGAAAACTTTGAATTTAAGACAACACTTTCCTAACCATCTGTTTTAATATTCCATGTATATAATTAGTGGAAGTGCCCTTCTCTTTTCCTTCCTCCACTGCTGTGGCAGGGAAAGCAGCAGTGGGGGTGGTAAGGGGCCAGATCCCTTATCCTTGATCCCCCCCCTGCTGCTTGCCCTTCTATGCCTGTGCCTGCTCGCTGCCCTCTGCTGCCTGCCAGACTCCCTTTACCGTGTGCTGTAGCTCTGATCCTCTGGCACAGTTAGCTGCAGCAGTGGATCCAACCCAGGCCCAGCTCAGCCCCGCCAGAGAGAAGCTTTGTCAGCTCCTAGCCTAGGTCAAGTCTGGCCTGGAGGGATCTGACCTGGAATGGAAGGTAAGAGGGAGCAGAGGGTGGGGGGAGGGAGCAGGCACAGGGGGGCAGGAGGTGGGGGAGGGAAGGCTGCAGGTTCCTTTCCACACCACCACTCTGTGGTCTCCCCCTTGCTCCCCCCACCCCACTGCGTGCCCTCTTCCCTGTCAGATGAGCCATTCCAGCCCAGGATAGGCAGCAGCTCAGCTCTGGTTTCAGCCGTGAGCCCAGGGCCAAAGTTGGAGCTGAGCAACTGCCTTCCCCTGGCTGGTACTCAAATCCAAGATGAGGTTTCACCCCACCCCCCATGCTGATTTGGGGATAAGGGGAAACCTTATCTTGGATTTGAGTACATAGGGCATATAGTCCCACTGACTCTTTTGCTGCTGTATTGAATTTACAGACAGTCAGAATTTGCTAACCACTGCTATTTTATGTTCCTTTCAGCATTATCAGTTTCTTGATTTCTGCCTCATTGCGTATATATTTTGGATTACATTTTCTCAGATATTTGTAGTTTTCCAAATCAGTTCTCATTTTCTACACTTGTTTCTAATCTGCCTAGGTCAGTGTGTCATTTTCCTTTCTGGGTTTTTTGTTTGTTGTTTTGTGGGTTTGGGGTTTTTTTGTTTCTGTCAATTAGATGTTTTCTGGTGAATTTAATTTTAATTTGTGTTCCTTTTTCAAGATCTTTAGCAATGGTGTTAAACAGAACCAAACCAAACACTAATCTTTGCAGCACCCTATTAGATACTTCCTCCTTTCTTCCAGTTTGCTATTTATCATGACCTTTTGCTTTTAAATCGTTTGGGGTATAAAAGGTGATGCATGCCGATATACTTTGCTTCATGAAAGACTAAAGTTTGAATCTCAATTTGATGTACTTTTACATAGGCTGTCATAGCTGAGCATGCTATCCAGGGTCCAGGATTTCACGTCCAGGTCCTGCTGAGATAGTGGTAGTTGACTTGGGAGGAAAGAACACCGTTAGTTATATGATACCCACAACTGCAATAGAGACTTGGGAAATGTTTTTAGCGGAAATAGAATCATAGAGTCAAAATGAGGAGAGGAGATGAGCTATGAAAAATAAATTTTGAAGACTGTTTTGTGAGTTGGACATTAATTATGGCAGTGTATGCAAATAAATTTGCCAGAACAAATATTATTTAGAAATATTAAAAGTTCTCTGTCTTTAGGTGGCTGATCGTCTGTTTTCCTCCTTTGGACAAGATATTTTGGATGCTCTTTACTGGACGGCTACAGAACCTAAGGAGAGAAAAAGAGCTCATATAGGTGTGATTCCTCACTTCTTCATGGCAGTGCTGTATGTCTGTATCCTTTCAAGTTACAAAATATTCACAATATATATTCAAGTTGATTACTTTAAAGCACAACTACTATATATTTCAAGATGTCAGTTTTCTTAAAATTATGTATTAACACTGTAAAAAAAAAACAAAAACAAAAAACCATTTCCAGTGTTTCATATTTTAACGGCTGACTGAAAAGCTTTTAGCCTGTCAGAATATAAATTCAGGGTTGTAGTATTCATAAATAAAATCTACCTGTGCTGCCTTTACACATCCCGCATATCGTGTCTTTGATCATGACCTTAGGACCCAAACCAGACTTCTCATCTACCAGGCTGTTGTTATCCTGACCCTGTTGTATGGGTGTGGAGCCTGGACAACATACTGGAAACCTCTGAAAGCCTGGCTGATGGTAACATTCCAGTGTCTTTAGAAAATCCTCCATATTGGAAGGACAGAAGAACAAATGCCAGCATTCTGGCCCAAGCAGACACCACCAGAAGCCATGTTTTATACAGTACCAGTTCTGTTGGACAGGACATCATAAGGATGCCTGTCAGCCAGTTCCTGAAACAGGTCCTATATTCCAACTCGCCAATAAACACAGCTCTAGGGGTGGACAAAAGAAGAGATTCAAGGACACCTTGAAGGCCAATCTGAAGAAATGTGATATTAACATCAGTGCCTGGGAGACTAGTCTAGTATAGTTTTGGAATTTCACCTTTAAGTTATTTAGTTGCTCATTTTTCTGAAACCTCATGCCAGCTGGGAAAAGGCAGTACTTCATTACTTGGCTGTTAAAAGAGTCTTAAAATTTATTTTATTTTTTTTTACTTGTACAGAACAGATCCCTTCAGGTAATTTTCCTAGATTATTTGCATGTCTCTTCCTCTTACAGATTCTGAATTGGTTCTTGAGCTGTATTGAATGCTTATGGTCTTTCTGATACTCTTGACTTCTAAAAATATGAATGTTTCTTCATAATTAAACTAGGGTCCAAGGCAGTTTCCCTTTTAAAAATATCCCCATTGTTAGGATAGCAAAGTGGGGCTCTACTCCTGCTTTCAGTGTACAATACAGGCATCTGCTTTTGTTGAGTCATGTGTTTGGGCAGTACTGTGGTCAGTTCTACAGCAAGGCTCTGAGCATCCACCCACCTATTACTTGATATGCAGGTTAGAAGGTTCCCACAATGGAAAATACCTAGGGACAAGTACACAAAGAATTATTTGAGATATTGTGCCTGCATATTTCCCTGTGTCCTGCTTCTTTCTCTGCTTTCATTCCTATGTCATATTTACATTGATGCCTGTGACAAAGAATGAACTGAAGTAGTGATGGGTCTTGCACTTCCCTCAGTGTGCCTTGGTGTGGTGTGTGTGAGGGTGTTCAGGGATACCTGTGTAGACCATACATACGCAGCAGTTGGCAGAACCTTTGATCTTTGGCAGATGGAGCTTATGCATGTCCTGTAATGGACTGTACACAGGGACAGCATATTTCAAAGACCCTCCATTTGATAAGTAACTCTTTTTCTGTCTCTAGCAAGAATACTGCCCCTAATAGTTTAATATTGATTGGGAAAGGATGCAAAAACTAGGACCTAGAGTAATGGTCCTAGAATTACTAGGTACTCACAACAGTGAATGACAGTAATCTCTCTCTTCTCTCAAATAATTCTTCCTTTAACAGGAAACCTTGATGTAGTCCACGACAAGTGAAGCAGAATATTTTTGACATTTGGGGTAATACTGGTATTTCTTAATTACAGAAGTGCACTTTTCAAATGTCATTTACCTTAACATTGTTGTCTTCAGTCTTGCATGCCATTCTTATAATGGTGCAAGCAACTACCCTTAATGTAGCTTTCAACTCCCACAACAAGTCACTGCTTACTATCATGATGTCTAATAATGTAAGTAAATGGAGTAAATTGAATATGTACTTCAGACAAATATTCAAATGTTGAATAACTGTAATAGATGACAGTTTAGTGTTATTGTTCCATGGAAATTAATGTTTATAGAGTAGACTAACTTCACTTATATATCCTAAATAACCCAAGACACAGAATGTATAAAGACTTGATTGGCTTTTTTAATTAAAAAAGTATATATTAAATATCAATTCCATATATGTAAAGAAAATAACTGTTGGTATTTAAAATTACAGTTTGTTGAAATAAAAGGAAGTGTTTTCAAGAAATTTGAGAAGAACAATC